TTTAAACATTTAATATTTTATTTAATATTTAAATGTCAAAATTATCCACATCCAGAAAAGAACTTTGGGTGTAGTTACAGGCACATGGAACTAACTGGAAGCAAAAAGGGCAGAAGCCTACCAAATTTTTGAGGAAATGGTTTTACCAAAGCAACCATAAGCCTAGCCAGAAGAAACTTGTGTTTTTTTCAAGCTTAAAATAGCTCCCAAGGTGGGCATAGTCTCCAACACAACATTTTGATGTGGCCATGCAGGATAATGGACAAGAAGAAGAACTTCTCAGAGGGCCAGGAGCCTCAGAAGAGAACAGACAAAGAGTTCCTCCATGGTGGAGAACCAGGAGTTGCCAAGGGGCTAACCTAGGAAATCACTCCACTGCCAGGGTGAGGGCCCTTCGAAATCCCTGCTTCACATGATTTGTTATTTGCTATGGTTCAGTGACTACTCTGTGTTGCCAAACTGCCCTTTTCTGAATAGGAGCCTTTATTTCACTTCTGGTCTTGCTTCTCCACTATTTATTGGTGGCAGAGAGAGAAGACAACTTGATGTTTAGTTTATAGGTGGCTAAGATGAGGAGTCAAATCTGAACCTAATGAAGAGAACTGTACATCAAGTAGAGATACTCAATTCTTGAACTAGATGGTGGGACTCTGGGTTGTTTTCCTTGGGGAGTGAGTGAGTACATTCTATGTGTGGGAAGAAGGGAGCATACAGATATTTGGATGGCCAGAGGGGCAAACTGTGGTAGAAACTGCTAGCCAGGTCTCCCATCCTGCCATAGTAACAGAACTATAGCCAGGCACCTGGCTGCCCAGCCGGACTATATTTCCCAGCCTGCCTTGCAATTACAATGTGACAAAATTCTCAGCAACGCCATGGGAGCAGAAGTCATGGATGCCACTTCCAGATCTGGGACTTCAGACCTTCACTTTCTCTTCCCCTTACATGCCAGCTGGAACCCATATGTGATGGCAACTCTGTTTTGACCATACAGATGATGACAGTGTCCTAGTGGATAGCAGAACAATAACTTGGAAGGAACCATGATCCCTAAATGACCTTAAGGAGAAAAGCTGCCCAATCAATCTGGACTGTTTACACTCAGGCTATTCCCTAAGAGGAAAAATACACTTCTCTGTCCTATAAGCCACTTAAGTGTTAGGTCTTTTTGTTACACTGGTATTACCATCACTAGTATATGGCCAATGTCAGAAATCCATCTCTTCTTACACCCTGGACCTGTGAGGAAGTCTTGGGAAAATTTCTGCATATGCTTGTGTTCATGCTCACATGTGCACTAAAAAAAGCTGGTTAAAGAACAACCTTGAGGAGTTGTGGTATAATAAAAATATATATTTAGTTTTTGTCCCTGGTTCCTGGCACAAAGCTTCTAAAACCCTTGGAATTTCCTGAGTGATAGGAGCATCTTTTGTTATTCATAATGAACACCTCTGACTACACCTGAGTCTAAGCTAATGAGGCGACTGGGGGGGGGGGGGGGCCCAGCCGGGGGCGGGGGGGGGGGGGGGGCGGCCCAGACAGGGTCAGGATGGGGGCTGGTTGCCAGAAGAACCTATCATGAGATTAGCAGGTGGGAACTCTCAGCCCCACTTCCCCAAGGAGGGGAAGGGGTTTGGAGATTGGATTATAAAAACTCTTCAACAATGAACTTTGGGGAGCTTTCGGGTTGGTGAACACATTGAAGTGCTGGAGGGTGGTGCACCCAGAGAGGGCATGGAAGTTCAAAACCCCCACCCCACACTTTGCCCTACACATCTCTTCCATTTGGCTGTTCCTGAGTTGTATCATTTATAATAAACAGGTAAATGTAAGTAAAGCCTTTTCCTGTGCTCTGTGAGTCATTCCAGTGAATTATCAAACCTGAGGAGGGTGTTGTGGAAACATCCGAATTTATAGCTGATCATGCAGAAAAGGTGGCCCCTGGGACTTGCAAATGGAGTCTGAAGTGGGGGGCAGTCTTGTGAGACTGAGCCCTTAACCTGTGGAGTCTGCACCAACTGTGGATAGTTAGTGTCAGAGGTGAATTCAATTGCTGGATACCTAGTTGGTGTCAGAGGATTGGAGAACTGGTGTGAATCCCCACATAGTTGGTGTCATAAATGGTACAAGAAAAAAAGACCCGATGTGGGGCTAGCCCCATGGGCTAGTGGTTAAGTTTGGCGTGCTCTGCTTTGGCAGCCTGGGTTGGCGGGTTCAGATCCTGGATGTGGACCTACACCACTTGTTAGACATGCTGTGGCGGTGACTCACATACAAAATAGAGGAAGATTGGCACAGATGTTGTCTCAGGGAGAATCTTCCTCAAGCAAAAAGGGGAAGATTGGCAACAGATGTTAGCTCAGGCCAATCTTCCTCAGCAAAAAAAAAAAAAAAAAAAGACACACAGGAACTTAAGGGTACACAGGGTGTGGAGTAATCAGGGCTGACCCTAACACTTTGTTTTACATAAACAGTCCAGCTTTGCCTCTGCACCCTCTCAACTCCTGCAGGTCAGCAATGGTGGCATCGACCTCAGGCACCACTCTACTGTCCAAAGTGGCCAAGAACTTTCAGGCTGCTATGATGCCAACCTAAGAAGATGTTAAATTGAACTTTTCCAGCCTCAGAAGTGTGGTTGAGAACAGCAAATGCAAGTGACTGCACATTCTAGAGACACCATACCATCCTATAGAACTTGCTAACAGGTGTCCCCAAACCAGTATCATAACCCCTGGCCCATCACCCGTGTCCAGATTATATAAGAGAAAGTGGAGATTGACCACGTATCCAGAGAGAGTTGCTGGAGAGTTATGCATTTCCTGCCCCTTCCCCCCGACCTGTCCCACATGAGGAAGAATTTCAGGATTCTGAGACATCACTCTAGTTTTCTGAGCCTGAACCAGGCCCAAGCTGAAGGTAGCAGAGATACGTTAAATTAAATGAGAAATTGAAGTTTTGATTTAGATTGAACTGGGCTTTTTTTCCAGCTTTACTGAGATATGATTGTAGACTTTTTAACACCTGAAAATGAGACTATCTGTTAATGTTTTTAAAGTGACCGGAAAAGCTATGGGATCTTCCCGAGTTATTATCCAGGGGAGAAGTGAGAGACTTGACAGGGCATGTTTGAAAGGCAATAGAGGGAAAGAATCAAGTCACTTTTTCTGCTTGTACCCACCAAGTGCACTTCATTTGATACATAAGGTGGACATAAGGTGGACCAGGTTTGGAATGCCTGCCTACCTGCCTGGCTCTCACGCTTCCACCAATAGCTCAGGATCACATGGAAGGGTTGCCCTAGCACCCATTTCCAACAGCAAAATCACGGCGCAGCAAAAGCAACAACAAAATATTGATTTTCTCTCTTCAGGGCCAGAGCAATCAGAACCAAGCCCTTAAACTGAAAAAGCCCCAGAGGTTCTGGACTTACTGCAGGAAGGCGAAGCCTGAGGAGGAGAGAAAGACACTCCAGCCTAATAGGTGTCCCAAAACAGTTAATCTGAATATTCAAAGAGAGGCTTTATGAAGCTATCTTCTGGCCTTGAACTGCCGAATTCCAGACTTCTTTTTACATGAGACATAAACTTACATCTTATTTGACTTAATCCTCTCTGATAGAATATCTGTAATATGTTTTAAAGTTTAAATAAGTAACAAGTAGTAAGAAAAATATAAGTAAGAAAAAGATAAACAAGTCTGTAGAAAAATGGGCAAAAGAGAGTAGGCGATTGACACAAGGAAGAAATACAAATGTCTGAAAATACACCTAACCTCAGTAGTAACTTAAGAAATGCAAATTTAAAAAACGAAATACTGTTTCTTACTTATCAGGTTGGCAAAAATTTTAAATATGAATTATATCTGATTGGAAAGGGTCTAGAGAAGCAAATACTCTCATTCCACATCGATGGGACTGTAACCTGGAGAAGTCTTTTTGGAGAATAGTTTGGCAATAGCTAGGAAAATTTAAAATGCATTTGTATATGAGCTGCACACATGTGCGTGCATGGGTGTGTGTAAGTGTGTAATGTACAAAAAAAGGCCTGGAAGAATGTGTAACAAATTTAACAGTATTTCTATTTCTCAGGAGAGGAGGGGCAATGGAATGGAAGGAGGGTATTAATGGACTTTCATTTTTTATACCAGGGCTTAAAATTTGTATGATGTTATATTATTTTTGTAATTAAAAATTTTAAAGGAAAAATCAGTCATACGAGCTTTTCAAAGATTAAATAGATATACAAAATATTTTAATTGATTTCCCTCTAAAATAGATGTGTTGGGTGTTGAGCAGCATGGTCTACTCAAACTTGAATAAATTTTGGCAGCCATAACCCTACCTTGTCATAGGTAGGTAGTTTAGCATTTCACAACCCAATGAAGAGGGCTTCCTTAACTGGTAACAATGTAAGTACACGGTGATGTTTTATATCCCTGAGCAGTACCGAATAAGGCTTGTTTAAGTAATTAAGCATTAAAAATACAATTTTTTTTTTAATTTTTTTTTTAAGATTTTATTTATTTATTTTCCCCCCAAAGTCCCAGTAGATAGTTGTATGTCGTAGTTGCACATCCTTCTAGTTGCTGTTATGTGGGACGCGGCCTCAGAATGGCCAGAGAAGCGGTGCGTCAGTGCACGCCCGGGATCCGAACCCGGGCCGCCAGCAGCGGAGTGCGCGCACCCAACTGCTAAGCCACGGGGCCGGCCCAAAAATACAATATTAAGGAAAGTATTTTGAAATAAAATTTAGAGAGATTTGCATTTTTTAATAAAAATAATGAATTCTATTATTAGTTTTTATCTTTTCTTTTTGGCAGAGACTGTCTTCAATTTTTAAGCATGAGTGCCAAGGAAATGACCTTCTGCCAACCCATACTTGCCCATTTTCAGACCAGAATTCATTCAAAATAATACCAAGTCTTCCAAGAAATCTTTCCTTTTTAATCTCAATGTTTTCAGCAAAAAGTAGGTCCTTTAGAATATAAGGAGACATTCTTACTTGGTCCTCAAAAGAGAGAGCCTGGGCAACATCTCTTGGAAATCCATCAATAACGATGCCCTCTTCATCAGGTATTTGCATCAATTTCTGTTTTATTTCTGTAATTGTTGTTTCCTGTTATAAAGAAAAAGGAAGGAAGACCACAGTTAAATTTAGTACCCTCACAACTGGTATAAAAGCCTTTGTAGAACAGAAACAAATTATACAGCAGTACCTGTGGGGCCAGTTCTCCAGTTGTAATTATTTTGGCAATAAGACTCCATTTCCTGTTGCTGCTGGTGCTGTGGATCTTCTTTCTTAATAATTCTCCCACCGAAATGTATTGAAATCCATAACGTTCTGCGATTTTCAAACTTTGAGTACCCTTTCCACTTCCTGGACCACCTATTATTTAAAACAGGCAAAATTGTGACCTCCTTCGACAATAAGAAACTCTCTTTTCTACAACTACTACCTTCGTGTTGAGATGCAGAACCTAGACCACCAGCACTGGGCGGATAACTGCTCTACGTGTATCATTCTCCATGTTACCTCTGAATGCACAGCAAGTGTAGACTTAGCCAAGAATTGTCATGATCAACTGCATTACATGAAAGAGACATTTTTTCCTCTACCCATTTTAGTACATAGCTAATTCTTTGTGTGTGTGTGTGAGGAAGATCAGCCCTGAGCTAACATCCGTGCTAATCCTCCTCTTTTTGCTGAGGAAGACTGGCTCTGAGCTAACATCTATTGCCAATCCTCTTCCTTTTTTTTCCCCAAAGCCCCAGTAGATAGTTGTATGTCATAGTTGCACATCCTTCTAGCTGCTGTATGTGGGACGCGGCCTCAGCATGGCCGGAGAAGCGGTGCGTCGGTGCGCGCCCAGGATCCGGACCCAGGCCACCAGTAGCGGAGGGCACGCACTTAACCACTAAGCCACGGTGCCGACCCTCACAGCTAATTTTTTTTTTTTTTTAATTTGAACAATGCAGTTGAAAAAAACCTTTACGATTTTTCTATGTAAACTATAATAGTTTTTTCCTCTGTAATCACAGAAAAATCTATGGGATACAAAAGACAATGATCGAAATAACAAAAATGTGTTCCATGCCAACAAAGAGTTAATGTGCAATTTGGTGAGTTGTAACAATTATTTTTAAACTGAAGCCACATGGATATTGATGCAGCTTATTTAAATTTTTTTTGAACTCTCTCTGTTCATGGATGTCCTTGCATTATCTCCTTCAAATTCAAAAGCAGTGTTATGCAATAAATATGCAGAATGAATAGAATAGGTCCTTAAGGTAGAACAATTTCATAGAACTCATGATAATTTTGATTTTGTGATACATTAGTATGAAATAACATTTTGCAACATAACTCAATACTAATTATTGGTAATTGCCACTTATTTTTTAAAAGCATCAGTATTAAAATAATTATAAAATACATGCCTCAGATTTTATTTCCAAATCATATTAGATTATTTAGTTAATTTATATTTCTAAACAACCAGGACTAATTAGAATCTAGAGTCTAAACAAATTTCAAAATAAAGCACGCAGCAATCAGCCGAGTCTGTTGTTATTTTGTTGGCAGTTATCAGAACAAAATATTTTCAAGTACTTAAGCATAAATTATTGAGTATAGGCAAAATATTTTTATAATTATAATTTATTAAGCAATACTGAAAATAAGAGTTCAATAGAAAAGTGAGTTCATGTTCTCCCTACTAATTCAATATATCAAATTTTGGGGGGGTTGAAGTAATTTTATATATAATTATTTAGTAAACATTTTTTATTCCTGTTGCAAATAATATCAGCAAAAAAGAAAGACAGCTATTTTGTTTTGTTTTGTTTTTTGTAAGTAGAGTTCTGAGTGGGTAGACTTGGTTGGCCAGGGCTTATTTCCACTTTAAAAATTTTAATGTGCAGAATTCTAAGATCAACTAATATAATAAGAACCATTTCTTAACCCCAATCCCAAATAATGCACCTGATAATATCTAGCTTTCACCTTTTTATTCCTTTATTAAACTTAGGATAGGAATTTGTTTACATTTTTGACCATTCTCTTTCTAAGAAACTCTAAATCCTATTCTATTAATCTTAACATTATGAGCTACTACTAGATTAAATTTATTGCTTTGCAAATCAAAAGTAAGTTTTGGTTCTAAATAGTTGCTTTTGGTCCAATAACCAATGGGCAAATCATGGACTGGCTTGAAGAATAAAAAATTATATGACCAACTCCACCAACAAATTCAAATTGATTCGATCTCTGAAGAATGAAAGTTATCTTTCATAAACTACATTTCCACACTTGATCTCACAAACCATCAAACCAAGAGATTATAAATTCCACTGAATTAAAAACAAATTCAAACATGCTAACAAAGTTATGGCACCTTCAAGGAAAGAATGGAGGCAATAGTAGAAAACAAAAAAACATGATTAGCACAACTGACAGAGAATAGCATTAATTTATTGGATGAAGTTGATTACTGAAGCTTCCTAACAAATTAATTTTATATACTTTCTTCTCTCTGAAACCAGAGTAGCTCAATTTTGTTCTATTTATCTATCTCTAATGCTTATAAATACTAGGATCCATCTAACTCTTAGAATTTATGATTATGTTAACATAAAAGAGAGATTCACATGGGGGCTGGCCCAGTGGCGGGGCAGTTAAGTTCGTGCGCTCCACTTCAGCGGTGGCCCGGGTTCTCCAGTTCGGATCCTGGGCACGGACCTCCTCACTTCTCACCAAGCCATGCTGAGGCGGCGTCCCATATAGAGGAGCTACAACTCTACAACTATGATACACAACTATGTACTGGGGCTTTGGGGAGGAAAAAGAAAAAGAGGAAGATTGGCAACAGATGTTACCACAGGGCCAATCTTCCTCAAAAACAAAACAAAAACCAAAAAGCAAAAACAAAAACAACAACAAAACAAAGAGATTCATATCCATGCCAAGAAGGCCAGCTTTTTAAAAAAAATTCTGTATCGTCAGAAGGGAAATTTTCTTTATTTGGATGTAACACCATGTAAGTATCTATACCTCCTCCACCCTGTATTAAGGCTGGAATTAATAAAAATTTCTAAGGTTCAGGTACAATTACTTTATAATTCTTAAAAAGTCATAAAATTGTCCCAATTTTCTCATATAACCTAAGGTTTGGCTTTTCCTTTCTTCTCTTTTCTCAATCTTCTAAAAGTTATTTACACTCATCAGTTCTGCATCATTCTTATATTACATAAAATCTTACAATACAGTGTATAAGTCTAAAACCAAAATCACACCCTTGGGAAACAATCTGATTTTACCGAGTAAAAAAAAGAACTGCGAAGTGCAGGAGATTTGAGCATTTACACCTTCTCCAAAGATCTTAGTTTATAGCAAAATTTTAATCACTTCATATAAAATTCACAGCGCACAAAAAATTCATATATGCCCTGTTTTACACAAGAGCAATTTGGTATTACACCTTTTTCATGGATAATCAAGCCTCCATTTGTACATCCTGTTAATAATCACCAATAGTTTACTAACAGCAACAATAAAAACAAAACTGAAGGAATATTTCATCATAAAATGGCAAAATAGTTTCCAATATTTCTTCACTTGTAGCTCTATCTTTAATAAAGCATTTCCTTGTCTTCTAGGTAAGGACCTCAAATTTTTATGCACAAACAAAAAAATTCCATTTTCAAAAATAGAGATTTATGGCATAATAGCGGTTACCATACGTCAGAAGAATATTTTGACTTTTAGAAAGCTGATTTCTATACTCTTTTGCTACAATATTATTTTAAACAATTCAGGGCTAAATCTATTTGCCACTTCATTCTCACTACACTTAGAGATGTACAAATGCCACTCTTTCTAGTCTGGAGAACTTGAAAGTTCCTGTTAGAGCTTGCTGTGTTCATTTGCAGGCTTTTTTCCTAGTTGCCATCATTGTTATATTTTCCCGGAGCAGTACTCATTTGCATGAGGGTTGCATACATTTTGCCCTCTGTTAACAGTTATTGGCTAGAATCACTTTGAACATTTCACACTAGATTTTGCTCTTGGTCATCTCTGTGAAAGCTGAGTCAAACTGGAAAGTGAGACAATGACTCCATATGTTGCTTGTCCACAGGTCTCTTCACGATTTTTATAGATTTTTTTTTTTTTTTGTGAGGAAGATCAACCCTGAGCTAACATCCACGCCATTCCTCCTCTTTTTGCTGAGGAAGACTGGCCCTGAGCTAACATCTATTGCCAATCCTCCTCCTTTTTCTCCTCAAAGCCCCAGTAGATAGTTGTATGTCATAGTTGCACATCCTTCTAGTTGCTGTACGTGGGACGCAGCCTCACGGCCGGACAAGTGGTGCGTCGGCGCACCCTGGGTTCCAAACTCGGGCCACCAGTAGCGGAGCGCATGCACCTAACCGCTAAGCCATGGGGCCAGCCCCTGATTTTTATAGATTTTGAGGAAGTTAGAATTCACAAGAGTGGTCAAAAAGGCTTTTGCAAGAATACTTAAAACATTTTCAATATCTATTCCTTGTGAAATGGCATAAGACTGATATTTTCACATTCAACCTAAGATGCATATTGGCAATTAAAAAATTACTATTATCATTATTATTTTGATTAATACTCTGATATTATGTGCTGTGTAAAACACTATTCCATTAGATTTGCTTGTCTAATAACATCAAAACTTAGATTTTATTGTAGGTGCTGGTCTGCCATGAGGAAGATTCATTTATATGAGTCTTTACCAACATATTATAAGGTATTTTTCCCTTTAAAGTTAATAGTGAATAAAAATTCAATTTGCTGAGTTAAAGGAAGAAAACACATCATGTTTAGAAAACTTCTAATGAATTCAGTTATCTATGTTAAAAATTAGGTAAAAACCACAGGACAATAAATCTTGAAGAGATTACCTACTTTCAATTCATAATAGAAAATTTCTATGACATTGTAATGGGATTCTATAAAATCCCATTGCAATAGGCATTAGATAATATAATTAGAACAATTTCTGTTTTATTGAAAAATTATGCTAAAAATATTTCTATTGTCTCTTGAGCTTTTGTTTCTATTGTTTGTCATTATTCAACTAAGTATTTGCAAATATGATACATAATTGACATAATTTTTTGAAATGTAAACATATAAACAAAGTTAGCAATAATATGAGAATTTTGCTTTCTGTCCTCATACCTATAACAAGAATGATTTTTGGTCGAGGTCTGGTAGGATCAAAAACCTCATACTCCTCAATTAACTCTGCAGTCTCGGAAAGGTCCGTATCACTTTCTATGGAGAATTGATGTATTGGAGGGAGTCGATCATACCGCCGATATGGAAAGTTTGAATTTTCGGGCATTACTGCAAAAGAGTAAGATAACTTTGAAACGGAAAAAAAAAACGCATAATAAAACATTTTTGGCACTTAACTAATTAGTAGAAGAAATTTAAAAACTAAATGAGTTTTATTTTTTCCAACTGGAAGTAGACCCCATCCCATAAGTGGTCAGCAAACTTTTTCTGAAAGGGCCAGATAGGCAATATTTGGGGCTTTGAAGGACATATGGTCTCATAGTCAACTTGGCCATGGAAAGCAGGAAAGCAGTCATAGACAATATATAAACAAATGGATGTGCTTGTGTTCCAATAAAACTTTATTTATAAAAACAGGCAGTGAGCTTAACTTGGCCCATGGGTGGTAGTTTGCCAAGCTCTGCCCTGGAGGAACCTTTTAAAGTACTGCCTAGTTTTGCTTGGTAGTTTGTATACGTCCTGGTCTCTGCAAATTGTACTCCCTAGAGTTGTGTAGTGCATAACCTTCACACCTTTCACAACCATATGCAGCTGCCCATGGAGCCATGGGCAGCATAATGTATTTCATTTATTCAATATGTATAGATACACACCACTATGATCCAGGCATGGTAGTGTAGTCCAGTGGAATGGCTTAATGGCGTAATGCACAAAAACTTAGGGTACTGTTACAAGACAGGTAACAGGGTAGCAAACAATTTCTACACTTGGAGTATCTTTCAACATCATTTAATTTTACTTTTCCAATATTTATTATCTTTAATATCCTTGATTTAAAAACGTAACTATGAAGATTTAAGTTTATATCTACAATGGCAACAAATATTTGCCATTTATTACCAGACGTGTTAGTGTGCTGAGGATGATTCAGTAGAAGAATAAGATGTAGTCCTGTCCCCGCAGGGCTTACAAACTGGAGCTTACATGCTTATATCTGACAGTGGTAAGCACACCAGGCAGGATAAGTGCTAAAAAGAATATCTCTTATAGTAAACACCACAGGCGTTCAATGAGTGGGTAGATCCATTTGGGCTGGAGTGGTAGGAAAGGACTTGCAAAAGAGGCGGGACCTGAACTTTGAAAGACAAGCACAGGTGATGAAATGTGGAAAGTTACCCCAGCTGGTGGAAACAAAACACAAAGACTCAGAGTCAGAACTACAAGTGACATATTCAAAAGGACCAGAGGACAGAGCTGGCAAGCTCAAATCAGGCAGATGGTCTCATCCCGGCTCCTTCATGGTTCATGGCCACCTGGTTCATGGCTCCTTCCTTCCTCACCCCATGTGTCAGTATTCCAGGAATACTGAGAATACAGAGAAGCCATAACTACCCAAAAGGCACCTGCACAAAGGAGACAGGCCACCTGGCTTTCCACGAGGGATTTGGCTAAGGGAACTGTTGGATTTTAGTATGGCATAATGCTCACATCTCCTCCTGGGTGTTGATCAGTTAGAACTTTCCATTCTCTGTTGATACAATAAATGAGGTCACTAACTATTGACCCACTGGACTCACTTTAGTTCCACAAAAGGAGTGGAGTAGTTTGCAGATGACAGTGGATATTCTTTAGAAAATTCTGGGATGGGCTATGTCAGGAAAGGAGCTGACAACAGAATCTTGTTCTGCCTTGAAATTGAATTGCTTCACCCAACACAGGGCAAAACTCTAGGCATTATCCTTGATTACTTTCTTCCCTCACTCTTTACATCTACTCCCACAGACTTTGTCTCCAAAACATATCTCAAATGCATATACTTTTCTCCATCTGCACTACCACAACTCTTCTCTAACCTACCATCATTTACTTGGCCTACTATAATAGACTCTATCAGTCTACCTGCTTCCATGCTTGTCCCCACAATCCATTGCCTGAAATGCTGTTCACCTGTTGGTCCCAGGGCTGACTGCTTTGTGTCATTCACACCTCAGCTTAAATGTCACCTCCTATAAAAGGATTTTATTGACTTTTTAATCTAGGGTAGCCACCCAGTTAATTTCAAGGACATCACTCTAATAATGCTCTCACAGAGAGCACACCATTTCTCCATCTGAGAGGTCTCTTACTCATTCATTGTTTGTCTTCTCCCATTAGAGTCTTGAGTTCCATGACAGCAGGGACCTTACCTACCTGGAACTCTGTATCCTTGGGATCTAGAACTGTGATTGGCATATAGTCAGTGTCCAAAAAATATTTGTTGAATTAATAACAAAGAGAACAGCCTTGCTGAAATAGATGGTTTCCCCTGGAGAAAAGCCAGGAGATGGGTAGGTAGAGTGTGATCACAAGGTGAAGGACCTTGAATCCAGAGTAAAGTGTTTGGCTTTAATCGGGTAGAAAGCCAGTGGAGGTGTTTTGGGGGGTAGAGAAGTGACATGATGAAATATGAAATATGCTTTTTAGGAAAATTAATCTGGTAATAGTTAGAATGGATTCGAGTAGGGAGAGACTAGGAGCAGAAAGGTAGCAGCTAGGAGGCTGTTAAAGTAATCCACAGGTGAGAAGTGAGGGCTGAGGTTAGAGGGCTAGTAGGAGAAATGGAAATAAACGGCTGGATGTGAAGGACATGGTTAGGATTGGGATATGAGAAATGAAAGGAGGTGATAGTTAAACAATAACTGCCAGGTTTCAAGTCTAAAAGAATAAGGAACACATTGCATTTCATATAGTATCTTTCTGCCCTCTCTTTTCTGCCAGAAATACTGGGCATCTCTCATTCCTGTCTATATCATAGCCTCTTCCTCTACAGCAGGACCTTCTGTTCTCTGTTCCCTGGTATACTCCCAATCTCCTCCATCCTTCTCTTGCTAATACGTACTCAGCTTTCTGTCTCTGAGGATTAGCCTATCACTTCTTCCAGGAAGCCTACTCTGAACCCCAGCCTAGGTTGGATCCAGCCCCTTGTTAATACGGTTAGTTCTATGGCATTTCCTGTAGCACGCATTGTGCTCCTAATATTTTTAATGCCTGACTTTATTGCTAGACTGTAAGCTCCATTAGGGCAAGTGCCATGTTTGTTCTTTCTTGGTGGCTACATCCCCAGCCCTAAAAGAGTGTCTGACACATTTTAGCTCTCAATAAATGGTTATTTTATTGCCCAACTGAGGCATTGATGGGCTTCATGGAAATAGGAAAAGGAAAAGGGAGTGCTGGTTTTGAAGCAAATATGGTATGTTTGGTTTTGGACATGTTGCGTATAAGATGACAACGAGATATTCCAGAAGAGAAGCTCCATGGACATTTGGAGCTATGGGACTAGAACTCTTCTTCACGAGTAATTATTTATTCAGTTGTATACATATGGAAGAAAAAAATGGATGCTCATTTCACGTTTATAGTAAAACGTTTTAAAGAACGGTCAGCCAATAATTTATCCTTGTTTTTACCATGTTTTTACTTTAGAAAGTAATTTGCTTAAATGATTAAAATGTTTTATTTCACAGAATAATTTTTCATGATAATTACACATCAGCATAGCTATGTCAATACTTCAGCAAAGATGCACGAATCACTTTTTTTGTGTGTGTGTGTGAGGACGATTAGCCCTGAGCTAACATTTGTTGCCAATCCTCCTCTTTTTGCGGAGGATTGGCCCTGGGCTAACATCCGTGCCTATCTTCCTCTACTTTATATGGGACACTGCCACAGCATGGCTTGACAAGTGGTGCGACGGTCCGTGCCTGGGATCTGAACCTGCGAACCCTGGCTGCTGAAGTGGAGCATGCGAAGTTAACCGCTCGCCACCAGGCTGGCCCCACGAATTACTTTTTATTTCTAGAAACAATCATAATGCTTTAAGTTACTGGGAAATTAGCAATGTTGTTGAATTTAATAGTAACTTATTCCATAAATTACAGCTAAAACCTACAAAGAGTGAATGTGTAAAGCATTTCATAAAATAAACTTTTATTATTACATGACAAAACTGTTTAGAAATCATTTTCTGTCTTTTAGCACATGTTCTAGATATAGGAGAGTGTGGTACAACATTCTTGTCACCATGGTACATGGAAAGGTTCTATTTGATGAGTAATTAAAAGGTCTCTGAGCGGGAATTCTGGTCAAGTATTAGGTATGGAGACTCTAAAAGTAACAAGCAATTTTAATTCTAATGAAAGTTAAACCTACATTGTCCATTCCTGTGTTAGCTTATCCTGCTAGATTGGCAGTTCCAAACTGGTCATCTGTGGCATAGCCCCACAGATGTGTTTTGTTCAACTCGACATTTTTCCAGAATTTGTTCTTGACTGCCTTTAGACAATGACTGCTCTCTCTAGTTCTGCTTCCTAGTTTGACCACAGTCCCCACCATTCTTTCTTACCCACTTGGCTTGCCTGCCTTGCCAAACCAGGTAACAGTATAAAATAGAAGCATTTGGATTTCATTTTGTTGTAAAACAGTCACTTTATGTACCCAATCTGAGAGCAGCTTTTTGACTAAGTGAATTTCATATCCTCTTAGATTTAAATTTAAAAACATAAAAATATTTTAGACTAAATCCTGTAATACCTGAGGTTTGTTAGTACTTTAAGGTTTAGAAAGCAGTTCCCTATATTTATCTCACTTGATTTAACAAGGGCATGGGGCATGTATTTAACACTGAGCCAGATTCTAACAGTATGACGACACCCTGGGAAGTAAGTTAGCAAATCTTCAAGCCCATGAAAATATCATTTTCTTCACCAAAGCAGTAATTTACTAAATGGGGTGCTGCAGTGGTTAACTGGCTAAAGGTACTCTCTTGAGTTCCCAATCCTAAATCACCTACTGATGACTTCTGCCTGAACAGGGAAAGATTATTCTCCTCTCTGGAGATATTTCTGAGAAAATGTTGTTTCCACTTTCTCTCTCTGCTTCTGTTTCTTAAAATTAACACACCGTGACTTTTCCCCACACCACATTCAGATAAAATCTAAATGGGTCGTGACTAAATAAGATAAAACAAGCTAAGATTTATTTCCCCCTTATATTCATTGCAAATAGAATTGTCTCCACTTCAAATTCTGTCAGTATAGCTGAAACTGTTCATGGTATACCTTTTGAGAGTGTTATAAACTTTGAAAACATAATGATCTTGGCCACTGGGAAAGAACTGCTAGTTTCTCTTGTTTGGAACTGATTCCATTTTTCACATATTATTATACTTAATTTCATCTAGAGCCTAAAAGGCTGGTTGGCTGATGTTGAACCACTAATTTGGATAAGCACATATTTCAGAAAGCTATCAGAATACCACAAATCTTCTCTAGCGAACTACAGTTCTTAGTTTCAAACTATTCCTAAAATTGTTCAAGTTCATATTGTCTACTTCTTTTATAATACTCAAACGCCTAATCCAATGTATTGCATTCAGTAGCTGCTTAACAGATCCTTGTTGAATTAACTAGTATAAACTTTACATGCATTTGTGCAGATGTGTTAACATGAACTCTGAATTTGGAAACATATTAATAAGTCAAATCTCTTCCCAGCTAATAAAAAAATGTTGACTTGTTATATAATAACTGTCAATTTTGTCTGTCATCTACTCATTTATTTGGAAAAGTCTTATCTGCGATTTTAAAAAAAATCATAGTTTGCTAATGTAATTCATTTTGCAAAGTAATGAAGTCAGTAACAAAATTTCATTAAGCCTTTAGTGAACTGCTGGACAATGGTATGTAATTTTGTTTGTTTTATCACGGAGGTGATTAGAATTAATAGCAGAGAGACATTAATCATATACCAGGGTCAAATAACCTTCCAGGTGTTTGGAAACCTAATAAATTAAATCATTGCCTACAGTCTACAAGGTATGTTTTATTTTTTTAAAGATTTTTAATGTTTTTTAATTAGTCAGTAGGGAGAATGGGAACATTTTCTCATCCTGAAAAGAGATTTTTAAATTATTTTTTATGCATAATACATAGTACATTTTAAAGAGAACTATTCTAACTATAAACTTTCTATTATTCTACATATACATTACCATTTCTTAGAAAGGATCTCCGTGACTGCCCTCCATTGAGCGGAGGTAAGGTCTTCTTTTCCTGGCTGACAAATGTGTCCCATTTCACCTTGTCACAGCCGCCCAGCTCCTTTACTTTCTGTAAACAACTTTCCAAGTACTCTACTGGGTCTTCCGGCTTAGAACACATGAGTCCATTCAAAAGGCTCTGAAATACAACAACAAAACATGTCCACGTAAAATATGTTTTAAAACCACTTTTGTTAAAATAGTGTTTGTCCCATCTTTAAATTCTCAGTTGCTTTTGTTCTTTGCATTTGTTTTTTTAATAAACAATTAGAGTCGAAATTATGATCTGATTGGGTAATTAAGATAACCCGTTATGTTTAAAACCTCTGCTGGCGGTGGGGGGTTAGATTTGCCAATTTCCATGCCGTAAAAACTCCTAGCATGGCAAGTTTCAAGTTACTAACTGACTTACTATGTTCCTGAAAGTCTATGCCATTTTCTAGTACTTGAGTAAATGAACTTTCATTTTTAGAAATTAAAAAAAAAAAAAAAAGATAATCCCTTAAATTCTTGACCAATTAGTTTTCAGCTCCGCATTCTCTGCCTTTTAAACAATTCAGGTAACTATATAGTTTAAAATGGAAGAGCCCTATCAAAATGAGATAATGTGCTGTGTGTAAAATGCCCCAGTCATTATTTATCTCATTCCTACCCATCCTTAAAGTCTACAAGCCTCAGTTTCTTCATCTGTAAAATGGGAGTAATAATACCTACCTTAGAGGGTTTTTTAAGGATTAAAAAATTTAATATTTGTAAAATATGTATTAGGTGCCTGGCATATAGTAAGTACTCAAGAAATATTGTTCATGGTTTTAGTTAACATTATTATTATTATCAGGAAATCTCCCTGAGCTCATAGGTTGGCTTGCAGATCCCTTCTTCTGTGTTCCACGGGACCCAGAAAAAAACATCTTACCTGTCATTTTATACTGAAACCATCAGTTTATGTGTTGGTCTCCTCTTCTAAACTATAAACTCTTCAACAACACAATGTAGGTCTTATTTATTTTTCAATATCCAGCCCTTGACACACCTGCCCTGGAACGTGGTAGGTGCATGTTGGACTGGTTTCTAATCAGGAAAAACAATTCACTCAAAACATGAAGTCTGAGACTTACAAAAAAGCCATTTGATATATAAATCATCACAATATCCATTGAGGTTACAGAGGAAAACCTGGTGTCCGAAGTGTCACATGTACTAGTTTCTAAAAACGCTACAAATTTGGAAATGCTGATTCCTGGGAACTGGATTGATGTGTGAAATATTTTCCTTTAGAGTATTTCATGGAAAAAGAATAGGTTATTATTATCACCAATATACATTATTAATGCACAAAACACACAGTCTTTGTAAGGCTGACATCTTTCCTAAATACAGTATTTTATTTTCAAATTATTCTTGTGCAATTTGCCCAAATTGGTAGGCAATGCTTACCAGGTACATTTGTTCACTGAAATCCTAAATAGTGTGGGTTAGGGTCTTCAATCAGAGGAGTTCAACTGCAGAGGAGTGGAGAAAACTAACCTGGGCATCCATATCCAGTTTGTGTGTCAAAATAATCACACACACAAGCTATACATACACACATACAGACACAGACACACACACACATTGCGTTAAATTCCTCACATTCCTCCCATGTTAACACAGGAGCTCTGTGGTAGTGCTTACTCTGTATCTTTGTATGCCTTAGCTTACCCAATGCACTCTTAGCCCTATGTGGTATATCATCCCCACTTTATTTAGGAAATCATGGCTCAGAGATGCTAGTGAGTTGATCAAGGTTACTCAGCTAGAAACTCGTAGGCCCAGGATTCCAACTTATTGTTTCTGATTCCAAAACTCACATACTCCTCTCTCCACATCTTGCAAAAATAGGATATGGGATAAAAAGAAAATGCCAGATTATCTGTGCCCCATACATAATCCAACTACAATATGAATCACTCAAGATTAGGTCTTTTATTTTTTTTAAATCCCTATTATTGCCTAAAATGAGCAAGGATACTCAATGAAGATCTTTTCTTAATGGAAAATATACATTTCCACTTTCCCTAAACAAGTCTGTCTCCCAGAATGGTACTGACTTTAAACGGGTAAATGGGTTCCACTCCTTCACAGATAATTTAAATCCTTTCTTCTAATAGTCAGCCACCATCAGGGATCCAAGACAAGTAACAGACATTGTTACTCAGTCTCTGTGAGTTAATCCTTTGAGAACTTGAATAATCTAATTTGATTTTTCTCAGTATTCAAATTAATTGCCAAATCTCTGCTCTAAGGTATAGTAATACAAGATCAATATATACACCATAAGGTTAGCTCCAGTTAAGAACTCAAGACAAAAATAGGGGAAAGCGGTTTTTATTTTAAATATTTAATCTAAAACTAGAAACACACTCCAAACTTGAACCTAGCAGAGATATCCCACCTAGCCTATGCGATGCCTCGAGTCAGGAAGAAATCTGAACAAGTCGGTTAGATACATCTAGCTGTTTGACAATATGGAGATTCAATAATCAGTCACTCGGTCTACAATGGTGTCTAATATCCACAGCTGGGGCCAACGTTTTGGGTTTGATAGATACCTAATTGCTAAACTTTGTATACCTAGAAACTTTGTATGCCTATATTGTGGTTTTGAGGGAGAAAATCCAGTTTGGAAACTTAAAGCATTTGGTTTTGCTGTCTACACCCATCGCATGGAGAACTGCCAGGTTCTACTTCTCTCTTGCACTGTACACAGCACAGATTCTTCTTACTGGAGGGATGGAGCCTTTGGAGGCACCAGCAGTCCCCTTCCATCTTCCAACGTCCAGGATTGCATTTAAGTACACTGTGTTATGGCATTTCACTTAAGCAAGTTGAGTTCCTTTTCTGGGTGTGCACAAGGTTAAAACGTCCCATTCATATGCAGAAAAGCGTAACACCTGAACAAAAACACCTGCCATCACTTATTTGCATACACTGTGTAGATTTTCATGAACAAACTATCGAAATTCTCTGTAGCTACCAAGGAGGAAAAACAGTACCCACTTTTATTAAAAAAAAAACACATACTATTAAGCAGCACTTTGCAATCAGGTGACCCTCCAGCAGATGTTTCTCATTACTCTTTTAGAAGTGTAGGAATGAAACTGATCTCAGTAGTAGTGTTTATGACTAAGACCTTCAGCACTTCCTCTCCATATTTACTTTTTGAAAATTAAAAAAAAAGGAAAAGAAAAATTCAACAATCCTACATCCTCCAAGACCTGTCCTTAGGCAACATCTCCTGATTATTTGCAAGCACTAGTAATGCACGTGCTAGATTGGGGGTTCACATACCGCGCTTGTGCTCAGTGGGTGGTTTACCTGGAAATCTTGGCTTCAAATGGACTTGAAACGGTAGCTTACAGAGGTGAGAAGAAAATGAAGATCGGTAATTATGGCGGCCCATTTTAAAGATAATTTGGAAAACAGAGACAAAATGCTTTTCCCAAGTGGTGTTTTAAAATTCCTTGCAGCAGAACAAACCCCCAAACAGGAGAAAGAGCAACTCATGGTCTTTAGTTTGCTATATCAGTCTACAGTCTGTCATCTTTCAGAAATGGGGGAGCAGGTTTGCAGTGAATGGCTTTTCCCTTTCGGGGCTCACTCTATGGCGGTCGGCTCGCTTCCATTCTTTTTTTTTTTTTTAACCTAAGCAAAAGCATATAGGATTCAGGAATGTTTTAAAATTAAAATATGGAGAGAAGGAAAGGAAGTAAAACGATCCGAGACAAAGGCTGTGGTTTAGAACTAACCAAGGTTCCTTAGTTCATCCCTCAACCCTCGTCTCCCACATTCTCCAAGTCCCTCATCCCCCGGGGCCCTGGTGCAGATGATGCTCTGACGCTGTCTGAAGACGGAGCAACAGGAGTCGCACCAGCCTCCTCGCTCTCTCTCCGACCCTCTTTCTCCAGATGGACTGGAAAGGGCAGGCGAAAGCCCGGGCGGGGGAGGAGAACCATCCTTTCCAAGGCGACGGGAAAACGTGCTCAGGAGTTCATTCACCGAAAGCGCAGAGCAGCGCTGGGTCCCTGCCACCTGGGAGGCAGCGCTGCACTTCATGGGTTTGGATTTGTTTCTTGCATCTTCATCGCTCTCCTCCCAGCTCCCCTGGGGAGGGCTGTTTTCGTCTACACCTCCCCTTTACTGCCGGGGTTCCGACCCTCGGCGCACCCTCCCGACCCCTCAGTTTCTAACCCTTGCTCGCTCCTGAGCGCCAGCGTACCCTCCTGGCCTGGCGCTCGCCCCCAGGGAGCGCGGCCGGCCGCTGCCCGCAGCCCATCCTGGGTGTCCACATCCGAGGGACGCGCTTGGGGCAGCCTGCTCCCGAACCCGGCTGCAGGACTGAAACTTCATCTACCAGATGCGGGCTTCTGAGCCCAGCCATCTGACGAGGACCCCGGCAACCCGCCGGAAAGGCGGCGACCCCAGGGCGAGCGCTCGAGCGAGCTTCTGCAACCCCCTCCAATTCCGTGCCCAGCGTCTGCAAGGTGGGACGGGCGCGGCTCCCTCACCCCGAGCCCCGGGGCTGCCCTCCCCCCATCCTCCCGCCCCTCTGCCAGCCCTAGCCCCCTACCTCGAAAAGCTGAGGGATTTCCCTCCGGGCCAGATACTCCTTGGCATCGTTGGTGTTCATGGCTGTGCCGCGCGTGCCTTGGGGGCGCAGGCGGGGCGGCGGCGATCCGGGCTGGGGCTGGCGGGGTCGGCGCCGAGCACTGGTGCAGCCCTGGCTCTCACGCCAGACACTCCACGCTCAGCTCTGCCCGCCTGGCCCGGGCCCCTCCGCCTCTCCCCGGGGCCGTGGTCTCGGCGCTCCCGCCGCCCCCGCCTCGGCGCTGGTCCCCGCGCCCGAGCTGCGGGCTCGGAGCGGCGGCTTCCCGGGCTCCCAGCAGCGCAGCCGCCAGGGGAGGGGCGGAGGGAGCGGAGGAGGGAGGACAGCGCGGCGGCCGCCAGGCAGCAGCCCACCCGCCTCTCCGATCTGGTCTGCGGCGGCGGCCAGTCACGCTGCGCGGGCGGGCGCGGGGCGCGGGGTGGGGACGGGGGCGCGTGGGCGGCCGGCAGTCACACCCCCGTGTCACACCACCGACCGGGCGCGGCGCTTCCCTGCGCGCGCCGCCCCGGGGACGCAGCAACCTGGGACCAGGTGGCCCAAGGAACAGAATCGGGGTGTCTAGAAACCTGCGACATTTTCGCTTCTCTGGACCTTCTTCTACACACCTACACACGTACACACGTACACACACACACACACGCACACGATTACTCATGCGTCCCCAAGGAAGAAATCGAATTGTCACAGAATTTATTCCTAAGGTTACCGATCTTTGACAATAGGGAGCTGGGGGTAAGGAGAAAAGGGGATTCATGGTGTGGAATCCATCCTTTTAAGATAATTTTTAGAACTTGGGTATTTTTATCCTTCAGGAAAGTTTTGCTAGCTGGTTTCAAATTTTTTCCCCTGTCAGTGTCACAAATCCCTACAGATTTCAGTATAATGCCTTAGAAGGAGCCTGAAATCTTCATTAACAGAAAGATTAGTAAGTAGTCAACTAGTTAATTCTTTCCATAGAGAGGAATGGGAAAGTGGAGGAGAGAAGTGGGTGGTGGTGGAGAGCTGGAGACAGCTGAAACTGGAAATGTGCTTAGAAGGTGGGGTGGGTGCCACATTAGTTAGATCTGAGGAGTGTGCAGGCAGTGGACTACGGGCCATCAGAGCTTCCCTGGGGTGAGAATGGGTGGGTGTGCTAAGGCAGTGATTCTGCAAAGGATTTCCTGTTACAGACCAATATCAAGGTGTACTCATCCTCCTCCTAGCTCCCAAGATGACTCATCTCCCCCATTAAGAAGTCTTTTCATTGCAAGATGGTCCATGCCTCCCTGAGAACATGACCTCTCACTGTGTGCAAGGCCTGAGGCTGTGGGAGGGTGTGTGAGAGGAACAGGAGGCTCTGATAGACACTGACGCCCAGGGGCTGGCCAGGCAGAGAAGTAACCTGCACCCGCTTCCAGAAACCAGTGTCTGAGTGTCCATTTCAAGTCCATCTTTGCAGATCTTTTCTTGGTTCTGTGTCTTCTCACGAACAACTGCTGCTCAAGCCTTAACTGTAGTTGCAATTTTGTTTTACCCAAAGGAGGGAACTCAAGAATTAATTGAGTTTTGTAAAGTAAATGAAGTTTTCTGAACACTTGTGAAACCATCTGTCATATGGTAGCCTTCAGTGAGGCAGGTGTTCCAGTTCCACGGAAATTGGTTTCTGCCCTCAGAATATGCCACGTCACTTACAGTGCCAGCGTCTGACATTCTTTACCTTATTTAAGAGCAGGTTATGCCAGTAGTGAAGCATTGTCTCTTCCCTATGCAACAATGCTTGGAAAGTACCGGGGTCCACGGCAGGAAGGCTGGCTTTGTGAGCAGGCACAGCTGAGGCGGAGCACCGTCATCTGAGATAAAGAGGCCGCTTTCTGCAGGACCTTTCAAGGTCACCCTTTACAGACAAGAATCTGGCAGAGCACAGCTCGCATCCTCCTTCCTGGGGAGGAATGTATCCTAAATGGATATATGATTCTAAATGAGCTTTAGTATAGCCGGGCAACTTGCTTGTATAAAGAAAGTGGATAAGAAAGACTGCATTATCCTAAATATTCTAGATAACCTGAAAAATACAGTAACTGGAGATGGCAGGTTTTCAGGTAGCCTAATGCACTGACAATGAGTGCTTTTTGGTGTATTCCAGATGTTTGAAAGAGGCAAGATGCTGCTAAATACTTTTGCAAAGGGACTTGTGGTCTGGTAGGGGAGGGCTATATGAGGGAAGCATAATGCTTAAAAGCCAGGCTAATGGTTTAGAAGAGAGGAGAGAGAGAGGGCGAGGAATGACAAATACACCCTTGCCATGGGAAAGCTGACCCGTTGCTTCCTGATACGAAATTCCAAGGATGGGTATAGAAAGGGTTCATGGCCCTTTGCTTTTTGTTGACTTGGGGGTGCATTCCTGCAAGCTCTAACAAGTCAAGACGATTACCGCATGTCTGGTGTCTCCAGATAGAATCTATTCTGCTTCCACATTGGAAGAGTGTGCTGGGTTCTGAGGTGCAGCAGCAAATAAGATAGACGTGAGCTCTGCGACCAAGGAACTTGCATTCTACTGGAGAGTGCATGGAAGAAGTGCAGATGGACAATAAACAAATAAAAAGGCATAAACAGCATCAGATAGTGATAAACGAAGGGCCGATAAGCAATTAAAAACACCCCCCCCCCGAAAAGACATAAGCAACAACGTATCAGATGGCGATAAAACTAATGATGAAAATCAAACAGGCTTACCTGTTGATTTGAAGCAAGGGAACAGAGTCCAGATTGTCTGCTGGAAGTGGCAGAGGAAGTGGGAATGGGGATAACCTTTGGGACTGTAACTAGAACTTTCCAAAGGTGCAGACATCCTTGAGGAAGAGGCTCTTGGTGGGAATCTTTCTCTTGGTAATCCCTAAAGAGGGCTCCCTGCTGACACACAGGCTGTGTATGTCTCAGCAAAGGAACGAACCTTGCTGTCTCTGTTAAACGAGTGTCTAAGAATAGGCACCATTTGCCCCATCCACACAAAGAAGACTCAAGGGCTCTGTACCCAGGACAGCACTTTCCAAACCCCACAGAGATGGCTGGAGCCTATGCTTAAACCCTCATCCATTCCTAACAGATATTTATGCCATCTATAATTTAGATGGGGCCAGTTTAACTACAGAAAATTTTAGCAATAAGGTGCTAAATATTTCTCATATTGCAGTTTCTTGCCCCAGAAGAGGAGCCAGATGGGATCAGCCACAGGCACTGGTGCAGGTGATGGGAATGGCGTGATGACAAGTCTGGCCATAATAATACAAGGTAAGGATTTATTGAGGGCTTGTTATGAGTCAGGCACTGTAGAAGCACTTTATAGAGTATATTACATATTTATACACATGTCATATTTGATCCTTAAATCAACCTCTGAGATACATGTTATTATCTTTAAATAAATGAAATAACTGAGACTCGAGAGCCTAATTTCAAGGTTGTACTAATAAGTTAGTGTCAGTCCACCTGCAAAACCCTATGCATCTTTGTCCCTTAGAGCATCATCACAATGCCTTTCGAGTTTACAAAGGCCTGCAACCATTTCTTTTTGTACCTTTCAGTGTTTTCTGAGGGTCCTTCATTCTTTCTTTCCTATTTCCTTCCTTCCTTTCTTTTTTTCAGCAGATGTTATTTTGTATTTGGGAGGAAATGAGCTATTTCAAACACAAGCACAACAACAAAACATGTGTAACAACAAATTTATCTCAGTAGATTTTCTAATTGTTCAAAGTCCTTTTCTATTTGAAAGTTTTTGCCTGGTTCAAAGGTTGAACAGACAAGACAACATTCCCATTTACTGAATTCTCGAGTGTTGAATTCCTCTCATCAAGCAAAAAATCAATATCTTTTTCCTTATTATTCTATTTCCCTCACTAATTGACAATTCACTGGGCTATTTATATATTCTGGGCCATTTGTAAATATTTTGTTTACCCAGAAAAAACTAAATGTATAAGACCTTCCATATTGTGTGTATATTGTCCTGATAAGTATCCCCCTTGTTTACGTGTATTCTTTTTAGAAAGTTTTTCTGAGGCTTTCACTTTTTTGTAAATACGGAATGTACACACTGCTCTGTGAAATCTGGAGGAAATGCAGGCTGAAATAAGGGTGTGTAACACAATTCTTCAGCCAAAGCAGAATTTCCCTATGCTCTATTTCTTTTCCCCACACTGGCTGAGTAGCTGAGCCAGACACTTCGATTCTGGATCTCAAAGACTGCTAGGAATTTTTGGATTAGAAGAGGTTAGAGGTAAGAGATTAAAAACTTGCCCATAATGTCTGAAAGCATTAGGAAAATTTCCAAGTATATAATATATATGCTAAAAATAGTTAAGATTTGTGAAACCCTATCTATTTATGTGTCTATTCATTAGTTAATACATTCATTGATCAAAAAATTATGAAATAACCTTTTATGTTCCAAACCCGTGTTTGGAGCTGGGAATACAAAACACAAGACTTAAGGGGTTCACTCTCTAGTAGGGAGAGATGGACTTGTAATAATGAAGTACAGAGAAGTGTAATAATATGCTTTAATAATATGATAGCAGTAGATATGTGGAGGAAGGTCGTTATGGTGGGGACACGACCCGTATAAATATGTATATGGTGAAAAAAGCACTTAGAAAGTCTCAAAAATAGACTTTCTTTCAATGTTTCTTCACCACTCAAAAAATTATTTGTTTTTTAGCTGTTTTTCCTTCCAGCTTTTTCCCCAGATATACAGCTTTTCAGAAACATCATCATCACTGTAATTACACACATTTCCATGCTGTGCATAGCCATCTTTTAAAATGCTTTGTAAGAGCTCGTTAAGAAGCTTTGACAGGGGCAACTTAGCCATTTTCTCCCATGGCTGCACATTTTGGTTGCTTCTACTGTTATGCTACTCTAAGCAATTCTGGTATGGAGAGCTCTGTGCACATGTTTTCACATCTTTAATTATTCCTTAGAAAATTTCCAAAAGTGGAATTACTGGATAAAATGGAAAATGCATTTTGTGGTTCTTGATTTATTTATCAAATTTCTAGAAAGGTCTAATCCATTGATAGTGCCATAAGCAATATTCTGAATGGATGAAAGTTCCAGTTTTACTATATCTCATCAAGAAGGAATTATATTTTTTATTTTTAATTTTGCCTTAATAGATTAAAATTATACATTTAAAAAAATTCCATCGTAACTTAATTCTCATCTACCTTGCTAAGTCCTACCTTCTGTCATTTCTCTTTTAACTTGGGTCCTTTTTTAATAATTCTTGTTTTCTTCCGTTTTTTATTCTTGTGCTCCTCTTCCGTGATCAGGCTTTTGTTTATGGCTCTATTACAGTATTTGTCATATTCTGCCTTATGGA